GATATTATTGCAAAGTGGAAACTCTTAGGAACCACAGCAGCTCAGTCACAAAGAATCATTCTATGTAAAGTTACAGAGCAGTGTCTCTGTGAGGCACATAGTATGTTAAAATGTCCAACACTCAGCTGACTCAATAACTGCAGTGCTCCAGACCTCCTCTGGCATTAACAGCTGTTCAAAAACTGTGCAACAGGAGCTTCTTGGCATGGGTTTCTATGGCTGAGCAGCTCAGGTACATGTGATATGCACCTGCTCAGTATTTTTGCCTGTATAGTGGGGGTTACTAGTTATGGGGTTCTTCCCCTTTCTTACTCACTTGCTTCTCTTTTGTTGAATGTTTTCAACAAAGGTTTAAGGTAATGCATGGACAAATAACTAATAAAAACATAATTTTATTCAAAAATATAAAAACTGACCTTAATGCTAGACAAATTTGTTTTTTGTAAAGAGATTATTAAAGACATCTGAACTATGTTTCTAAGAAATCATAACTTAAAGACAAAAGATTTAATTACTGTGGATAAAGTACTTAATGTGGATTGACAATTTTTCTACAGTTATGCAACTATAAATCCTCTCAGCACTGTTTTATCTCAAAGGCAGGCAGTAACAAAGTTGGATTTCACTCTTTATAGCTCCACTTGTTCATATTTACCTTCACAGACGACACCAGCATCCTCAGAGTGGCCACAGTTATGAGATCCAAACCCTCTGTGTTGACACTCAGAGAGCTTTGATTCGTTGCCTGAGCATGCGACATCATCCAACCAGATGGGTCCGCTGCCCTGTCCAAATTGTGCGTTTGTTGGTGCTGAGAAGACCCTGCCACAGCCCAGCTGTCTACACACCACCTGAGCATCCACCAGGCCCCAGGCATCGTCACACACCGTCCCCCACTGTCCACTGTGAAAGATCTCCACCCTGCCAGAGCAGGAGCTGTTTCCATTAACCAGGCGGACCTCCCCCTCAACTGCTGTGTTGGCCTCTGTTTACAACAACAACAACAATAATAATAATAATAATAATAATAATAATAATAATAAT